TGCCACGATTTCGCACACCCCCCGCCGCGCGCGCGACAACATCCTGTCCCTCTAGACAGCTGCCGTGAGTCAGCGAGTGTGAGTGAGTGAGTGAGCGAGTGAGTGAGTGAGTGAGTGAATGAGAGTGAGTGAATGAGAGTGAGTGTGAGTGAGTGAGTGTGAGTGAGCGTGAGTGAGTGAGTGAGTGAGTGTGAGTGAGTGAGTGTGAGTGAGTGAGTGTGAGTGAGTGTGAGTGAGTGAGTGTGAGTGAGTGAGTGTGAGTGAGCGTGAGTGAGTGTGAGTGAGACAGTGATGAGGAGGGAGGGCGGGAGGAGGAGGAGAAGGAGACGCGGCGCGCGGACGACGAGCGGTAAAAGTAAGAACCCCACACAAAGATGTGGGGAACAAACCATTTTGAGGGTTACCCCCCAAAAAAACAAACCCATTTCAAGAATTGTAAAATCTATGGGGAGGGGCCGCGACTCGGTATGCTCTCCATATTTTTTTTAGGGGCTACTGGGGGGTGGTGCCCCTCCAAAAATCGGAGAACACAGGCATGGGGCCGAATCATCGCAACAGTCAAGATTTAGATGATTTTTTTGGGGGAACCCCTTGTGGGTTGGTTTTGAAGGCGACCAAACGGAAACCACCAACTATTTGCGGGTCCCCTATTTTAAGACACTCCCATTAGCAGCTACCTCATGGGAGGAGCAAATTGGGGGTTCGTCCTCTGATGTACCCCGTCCCCCATGTCCCGAACCCTAGACAAATCAGGATATGTGACTCCTCACATGTGCCATGCTTCGCGGATTTTTTTTTGTCTGGCTCCAAGCGGCCCAGATTCCATGTTCCCCTCTCTTGAAGGAGGTGGTTCCTATTGAAGGAATACAAGTCTCACCCGGGAGCCGGCGAAACCAGAGGCTCCCGATCAGTAGACGGAGTCCCACAGGACGTAAACAAAAAGAGTCCCCTGGGAAATGACGCTTCGCATGGGTTTCCCAAACTGGACCGACTGGATGTCTTGACAAAGGTCGTGAGACGCTATCCGTTCGCCAGGCCGGGCCTGCTTTGCGCGCTCTGCTTTTTTCTTGGCTTCTTCCTGAAGTTCCTGACGCTGACGCTTCCTTGTGCCCCTTTGGTGTCTTGAAGGTGCCCTTTTCAAAGTTGGTTTGAAGGCCAACCAACCGGGCATCCAAGATTTTGGGGATCCCCCTATTGTGACACGTACCCTTGTGGTTTGAAAATGGTCACCTCGAAGAAAACATTGCTGGTAACCGTCGAGCTAAGTTAGTGGATAGTGGCAGGGTTGGGCCATGTTTGCAACAAACGGCCTTTGCCCCCTTCAAAAAGAACCCAAGAGAAGGTTCTTGAAAGATTAAACCATGCCGCCTTGTGTCGATCCGGATTTCGGAGCAATCTCGAAGCAAGGGTTTCCTGGTGTTGTTGGCAGACTGGGCAAAGCATAGAATGCCAACAAACTCTTGCACAGCAGGACATAATGACTTGATGCACATGTCCAACTCATGAGTCGAATTGGACACATCACGGCAATTCATTTGAGCAACAGACAATTGTCTATACTGTGTGATCGGTGTTCGATCGTCCCCTAAGAGTTTTTGCAGGTTGATAAGTACCGATTTTGACAGTAGTCCCCTATGGATGTTTGGTGGCAATCTATTAGTTGGGTATTCACGTGATCCATATGAATGACCTGCGGACATGCTAATTACGGGTGCTGCTCGCATCAAGTCGTGGCTTATGGAGGTGCAACTTGACCAAATTGCCGGGTGTGTACGCACATATGTTCCTTGGTGTTCCCTGAAAATTCCGGCGCAATGGGGGCCGTTGGTCCTTTGGGAACTGCTGGCTGCCCGAAAGCGAAGCCAAGTAAGCCAAATGTCTGCGCATGAGGCTTGGGGATGTTTAGCATGGGCTTCGAGCGATCCTGTGCTCGGGTGGATAGTTTGAGATGGAAGGTGCCGCATCCAAAACGCTAGGGAACCAGTGCTGTGGCAGCTCGAGCGCGCTCGCAAAGATGCCAAAGTCCTGGAAGACGATCCCAAGCTAAACATGTCCCAGCCAAGTGTCACCATGTTGTCTGGTGGGCTGTACTAACACAGCTGCGGTGGAGGTCACCTTCCAGCGACACAAGCCATAGTCGATGACGTACACGGTGCCGTCATATCCAAGAAAGCAATGCTCAACGTCTTCACAATGCCATGTAAGGCTTCAGCCAACCTGCTTCCGACCCACATCAAGGACTTACACGGAATGGAATGGGATCCTCAGGTGTTCAGCCCTCCTTGAGAATGCCGATACTTCCAACCTCTAAACATCACCCCTAAATCGGCCCTAAATCGGTCAGGTTGACAACCACCAAAATGGGACAACATATAGGAAACCATCTTTAAGGGAGACCCGTTTGCGAGAGCAAACGTCCAAGGGGGCCAGGCGACCTATCCCTGATATCACAAACCAAATCTAAATGGGCAAAAACACAAAGGGTAGTAGTACCCAGTGATTCCATTGTGTAGTGGGCAACCTAGAAAAACCAACTTGTTGAAACCAACATGGAATATCCAGCTACCTAGCGAAAACAAGGTTCCACGAAAACTCAACAATATTGCTCTCGATCGGAATTCCAGGGGTTTCCCATCTGGTTGTTCTCCCTACAGAATATCTCCTTCATTCCCCGTAGAACTCTTTGGCCGCGCAACCAAGCAAGCGACAAAACAGAACCCTGAAGGGGGAAACCCCAGAAAACGAGGTACATCGAGAAGCGAGCCCTTGAAATCAGGGGCTGCTGCCATTCGACCTATGCAAAGAGGTAGAGTCCTGTTCCCTTGCGAAGGACAAAAACAGGAAACCCTTGGGATTTGGTCTCGAGGGCTCGAAGCAATGAGTTTAAGCAACAGAGGGGAACCAAAAAAAGGGGCTCCGCACAGGGGACTCGATCCCATATGTTCTGCTGATGTTCCTTTGCCCAGCAACCCAAAAAAAGAAAGGGCACCCTCCGAACCCATGAGAGTTGCGGTATGACGTTGGTCGAAGCGAGGCCTCGAACTGATCCTTCAACTCCTGGCAATGCTTCCCTGTCCAAAAGGAAGTCCTTGGGTCCCGAACCCAAGCAACAACTCGTTTGGGTGCATTGGCGAAAGTGCAATTTTGGCTTTGCAGCTAGAATAACCGTCAGAAAAGTTGAAAGGCCAGCAACTCAGGGAGGGTTCGAGGGTTTCTTTCCACTGAAGGCTTCCCCTCCGCGTGTTGCAATGAGCAGGACACAGGTGCAAAAGCTGACAAACTCCACAGCATCTCAAACCCAAAAGGGAAGTTGGCAAACTGAAAGGGCACCCGATTCACGCCCTTTTTCTTGCATGCCCTTTGTGGTGTTGTGATTTCTAGAAGCAACAAGTTTCAATCTGCCAGGAGCTGAAAGTCCAACTTAAAACCAACATGGTTTAATAGATAATAATCCACTTGGAGAATCCCCACCTGAGCAAACAATCAGGCAAACACAAAAAACAGTGCCCAAAACTCCCCAGTGGCCATCTTCGTGGGTGACTCCACCTAGTTTGAGGCGAGGGCAAGGGCTGCAGCTGCCATATAAAGCCAACTTTGGTAGAACCCAAGGTCAATGGGCGCAGCTTGCAGACGGGAACAAAATCCCAAGCACCGGTACAGTAGGTAGCGTAGGAACCCCCGCGCCCGGGCAGTGCCGGCTTCACCCAGTGACTATTGGTTCACCTGCTTTTCTCTTGCGATAGTTCCTGACTCGGGAAAGACATGAGGAATTGTCAGGTAAGGATTCCCCAGGGAAGGAATCCAAGGAAGCAAGGAAGCTCCATGGGCTAGCTCGTTTTACCTGATGAGCTCAAAATTTGTCCAAAAGGCTTCTGTAGACCTTACTCCAATCCCTATGACACATTGTAGCAGAACCATCAAAGTGTAGTTTGACAAGTTCAATTGGGTTTGTCTCCGAAGATATCCTAAACCCTCAAAGTGGGCGATGTCACTTTGGTTTTGCTTTCAACAAGTCAACATGCCAAAGCAAAAGGTTCCTCCCGGCTACCCATGCTAATGGGATGAACATGAGTAATCGTCCACAGCAAACCAACCAAATCCAACTGGTTGCAACTATACACTAAAAGCAAAAACGCGTCTCCCTGCCAAATAGACACTCAATCAACAGCTCAGCTGCAAGGAACATCCGGCTGGGTCCCTCTACGTGACGGCTGCAACATCCTTCCAGCTCTGCCAGCTTACCCTGTCCGCTAACATGGAAGCTGACAAAGGGGCCCTGGAAGACGAGGTTCCTGGAAACTTGGACCTTGTGCCGGGTTCTAGGAGGGTATCTCGAAGTACAATCTTTCAACCAGAATCTAGGGGTCTTTACCCACAGAATCATGCAGGTCAACATGAGAACGAGTTGCCGGATATGACTCTTTTGAGTCATAACCAAGACCTGAAGAAGTGTGCCCAAAAAGCACGTACAGTCATCCAAAAGGCCAGATATCCACCTCTATGGTTGGGGGACTGTCCCTTGACCTGCGGTTTTTATCCTGGCTCATTGCTCTATCGGCCAAGGAAGGCGAGCCCTTCAGGTTGGGTTGTCAAAGGCTTGGGGCGAAGCTTCGGGTATGCTGTATACTTGCACACAGGAGATTGAAATAGAAGCACCTTGTGGGTTGACTAACATCCGAAACATTTGAAGGTTCCGTCACACAACTCACAAACAGGGACTTGTGATAGGCTTGCCCCAGCCTTGACTGTGTGCGCTGCATCCTTCAAGTACCCAAGCATTTGGAACTGCAAGGGCCCCTCGTTTCGATTTGACGCTTCGGATGCGAGAGTTTCAGATACACGTAGAGTGCCCAAAGACAAACACCCAAAATAATACTATGAACACAACAGTACTTGAGTCCTAAAACGGGTCTTTTTCAACAGCAGCCAAGAAGTATAGGAGTCTTCTGAAACAGACCGCCTCGTTTACAGGTAGAAACCATAGCTTTGGCATCGGCCGGTTACCCGGACCCGCTGCCATCTCGCGCCTCCTTGCTCAGGTGATCCCCCTCGGCGGTTTGCTCCGGTGGGCAAAGCCTCGCCTTTGACTCCTTATCTTTTGGTCAAGGGACCCCTTTCAAACGCACAAGAAACGGTGATGGTGCGAACAATTGGTACAAAATCCAACTTGAGAACTTCCTGTCCGGTCCGCAACCCAGAAAAAGGGGGCATGACAACCAAGATGGGATATTCAATGAAGGGGTGTTACTGAAAGTTGGTGAAGAGCTTGGAAGCCCTATGGCACATGTGTGGCAAAAAGCACGTCACTTGGCTGACAGCCAAGTAACCCAAATGCTGCCGACTTGTTTAGTGTCCTCAAACAACCAGATTTGACGACCCTCAAATCCCTCCAGAGTGTCCATTGGAGGGCCTTGGGTCTTCCATTGAGAGCGCTAGGCTCAAAAATCACCAAAGGGACAGCTAGGCACTGAGCAAAATATAAGAACAACCCCCGAGTTTGCCTTGGTGGCTTGGTGGGCTGGTGGGGGGGTAACCCCTTGAGAAACCCTCTGTTCACTTTTCTGAAGAACGGTACGGAATCTCAAATCTGCTCTCAGATCCCCCGCTAAAAGTTTAACTTTTAGTGGGTTACATGGACACCACCCCGAAGCCCTACAAGGCTAAAAAGCTCAGGAACCGGATGGCTGGGAGTCACCAAGGAATGAGGGCCTCCCATTGAGTCTCCCTTTCTTCCATTTGCTTAAGCCTGGAAAAAATAAACACATATTTCCAATAGTGATAGATTCCCTTTGAAACCAGCAGAGCAAACTAGAAAATCCGCCGACCCTCTGCCTCCCGTCCCAGCCTCCTGCAGAGGGGACCGGCGTGGGATGCAACTGGAAGTGATTGGAATCAATGATACACGCCCGAACCCACAAAAAGTGGACCGGTCCTGGGACCAGTCCTGGGACCAGTCCTGGGACCAGTCCTGGGACTGGTCCTGGGACCCTGGTTCTGCTGTTTTGGATTACTTGTAGTCAGCCAAAACCGGTCCTGGGACCGGTCCCACAACCGGTCCCGGCACCAGTCCCAGGACCGGTCCTGGGACTGGTCCTGGGACCGGTCCTAGGACCAGCGGTTTGGTCCTGGGACTGGTCCCAGGACCGGTCCTGGGACTGGTCCTGGGACCGGTCCCAGGACCAGTCCTGGGACCGGTCTGGGAAGCCGGTCCGGGATCGAGTCCTGGTGTGACCGCTGGTCTTGGGTCCCAATTCAATATGCTGCGCTGCCTCAAACCGCTCCAGACACCTTTCCGGACTGGCACCCATGACCCTGCGACCAAGCCGGCCCGTGCGGTTGTTGACGTCCTTGTGGTAGTAGAGGATCCCATCTATTCTGCAAGAGAGTCCAATACGTCAAGTCAAACCGCGCCAGACTGGGACCAGCCTGGACAGGGTCCCAAGTCCCGGTCCCTGCCGGCGACCGGTCCAGGGCAACTTCGGGAGGGCCAGTTTCAGGGCGACCCCGGGAGAGGCGACTGCTCCCGGCCAACTCGAAGTGACTTGGGCGCAAGCCGGCCCAAGCGGTAATTAACGGACTAGCTGCCCTATTTCTGACTTTTCCGTTAATCCTTGTTTCTGGTCAACTTCGGGAGGGCCAGTTTCAGGGCGACCCCGGGAGAGGCGACTGCTCCCGGGCCAACTCGAAGTGACTTGGGCGCAAGCCGGCCCAAGCGGTAATTAACGGACTAGCTGCCCTATTTCTGACTTTTCCGTTAATCCTTGTTTGTGGTCGTAGAGGATCTTATAAGTGGTCCCTGGGTTTGCGGACGTGTTTCAGGACCGGTCCTTGTGACTTTTCCCTTAATGCGCCGAGGGTCGGCGGCAGCAGGCGGGAGCCTGGTTAATATTCTTAAGCAAATGGAAGCTTTGGTTTCCATCCTTTGCTCTTCGCCTTCTTCAGCAGCTCTGCCATGGCCGCCTTCTTGGCCTGGACACAAAGCCCAACATAGGACTGGTGATGCACGGTGCTCAGTATGAAGCTATGAAAATTATGGGACCCCCAAACTCACCCTTCAATTAAACCAACCCCAACAGGGGGGTACCCAGAAAACAACGACACTGTGGATGACTTAGTACCCCCACGGCACCTTCTGGCAAGAAACATCTGTCTTGAGGCCAATCACCTCCACCCTTCTCGCAAGCAACAGGTTTACTCACGTCTGGTCGAGTGGATGGGCCGGAGAAAAGCGAAACCTTTGGTTTACCACCACTAAAAAATGTGCAACCCCGAAAGGTGACTGAAGTCCCATCCCCCAACCCTCCCAAACCCCCTCAGGAAGTGAGTTTAACATGGAAAGCCATTCGTGCTGATCTAAGTCTTTGGGGTCACACCAAGACCTGCCACGCATTGTTCTAGTAGGGTGTGCATTTTTAGCTGAAAGCTGCAGGACCGATGGGACCAAATCAGCTCGTTCTGGTTCCGCGGCGTTTGGGGAGTTTAGTTGGACGCTATTTTTAGGAGCCATCATCAAGTTCCAGCAGTTGATTTGACGAGATTCTACCCTCCGTTTGTTTTCACTGAGACCTTGACATTAGTTGGAGTCTCCAATGGGGTTTTAAGTTTCCCTTTGGAAGACCCAGGTTACAAGTTAAGGTGCACGGGTCTTCTTTCCGGAACAAAGAGATGCTTGGCCCAGCTCAGGGGTACCACAAATTGTGTTTTCCTGCATTTCAAATTCTGGCTTGTATTCAGTCTACCCAAAAATGAACAGTTTGTTTGGAGACTAAACTGCGTCAAAAAGTGTGTGTGTGTGTGTGTGTGTGTGTGTGTGTGTGTGTGTGTGTGTGTGTGTGTGTGTGTGTGTGTGTGTGTGTGTGTGTGTGTGTGTGTGTGTGTGTGTGTGTGTGTGTGTGTGTGTGTGTGTGTGTGTGTGGGGGTGTGCGTGCCTGTGTTTGTTGCTTCTGCTTGGTTTATGTTGGCCTACCCTATAATATGACACACATTTTGGGGGGGAGAGACCCCAGGTTTGGCGTAGGACGGGGTTGGATCCTAATCCAACTCCCCAACTCCTGCCTCTGTGTCCTCGTTGAAGGTCTCCGGACGATTCTGGTTGGGGTTCACCTGCAGGGACACGAACTTGCGCCTCCCCTTGCGGATTTCATAATTAATTGTCAGTTGCTGAGGTGAGGAGGCCAGCCATCTGGGAGGAGCTGAGTTAGCTTAGAGAACTCAGAAAGCTTGCACCGAGAACAGTTCGAACTCAGGGTTGCTCCAGTCAGACAAGACATTTAGCTGGAGGATTAAAACCAAATCATCATGGTCATCCTGGAAAAACTCGGAGGCAAGCACCGGTGCCATATTTTCTGTCTGTCTGAAGGAAGGAATCTGAAGGCTTCGGTCCGACATCTTCGAAAGGGGGCGGCCCCTAAGGTTCTCCACAAAAACAAGGTCCTTCCAAACGCATCTCTTTCAACTTTCTGAGTGGAAGCACGGGCAACAACAACTGGGCTGTGCAGGCAAGGCTTGTCCAGTTTTCGGCTCAAGGCAATTTCCACCACGTGCTGGAACGAATCGGCTAACTGTTTTTGGAGGCCACATTCGACAAAAGGAAACCCGCGAAAATTATTCTGACATTGCGCCAAGGCCAGTCAAGCCTTGGTCCACACGCGACAGGCTTTCGGCAGCCCCTTTTGGCCGGAAGACCTTCTTTTTGGAATGGGAGTCTGTAGCAATCAACAGGGCTCCCAGGATATGGGGACAAGGCACAAGTCTTAAGGCCAAAAACGGCCGCATCAGGCCAAATGAGCCTTATTCCCCCCTGTTTTGAGGATCTTGGGCCAAACTCTGGGTACGAAAGAATTACCAGGTTCTGCTATATATGGAGTCTAGTAAAAAAAAAAAATCTCGATATATATATATATATGTATTACGTATTACATGTTTTTGAGGAGACCTCTTGGGGACGGTTTGTTGTGGCCTCTGATGACTTCGGAACCAGCCAGCGGCCTCGCCGGCGTTCTGGTCAACGTCACCACCCTGAAGCAAGGACCCCTTTTCCGTCAAGGGGTGTATTCGTCAAGTGGGTTCCTAGCAACAAGTCCTGCTCTTAGAGAAAGTGGATATTTTGACCAAACATCACATCCCTATGCTTCCTCGACTATTTTTTAAATAGGGGTTGTTCAACCCCTATTTTTTGCATTGACAACCCCTTTTTTTTGACATTGGCCTTTGGGGTCCATTTTGGGTTGTTACTTTGTTTGTATTGAAATTACGCCTGCTATTGCAACCTCTTAAGAAGCCTTGGGAGCCAGTAGAGTACTATGTATTGATAGGGTCCTCGGCGCCCTTTTGTGTTTGCACAATGCACCTGCTGAAAGTCTTGCGTAGACGGAGCCTTCATTCTAGCAAATTCTAGAATTTTCCTCTGCAATTTGCGCAGGTGGCACGAACAACAAGCAATTGTGTGCTTGTTTTTTCCGCTCCAATCTTCACACAGCTCCAAAAACGATGTGAGCGTAGACAAACCGTACACAAAGCGTAGAAAAACCGTAGAAACACCATTTTTTAGCGTAGAGCCACTATTTTTTGGCGTAGAACCACTATTTTTTGGCGTAGAACCACTATTTTTTGGCGTAGAACGGGCAAATTTTGCAGGGGGCCCAGAAGATCAACATTCTCACCCTGGAATGGTTGCTGTAAAGGGTAAATATTTTTGCTGTCCCGTTTTGTTTGGTTTGGCTAAGAAGGTGGGGCAAAAGAAAAACAGAAACGGTCAGAAGAGGATTCACCCTCACGCGCTACATGGCCATGTTCAGAAACCAAGCAACAGAGAAGCCAACATTAGCCTTGAAGATTGTAACACATATTGCTGCATATGAAAATACCTGTTCGGCTTTGGGATCCTATGAGGCGGCCTTAGCGTCAAGTCTTTCCTAGTCCCGTTGCAGTCCAAAACGGAGGCTGCCGCTCGTCATCAAAAAGTAATCTTTATCAAAAAACCGGGGTTGTCACAACGACTATTTTTTTAATAGGCTTTGGAAGCATAGGGACATGGAAGCCCAAACGCAACAAAGCGCCTGTGTGATCCTTTCGGGATCAACGTCATTGAAAAGTATCCCAAAGAGGCCAATGTCCTGCCAGGAACAATCGTTGTGGTTGGCCGCAACACCACCAAGAACCGGACATGCCATCACGCGACACTTTGTCTGTTGCATCATTTTGTTATATCGACCCCTCCATGTTGTTGCCCCCCTTTCATGAATGGCTCTTTGTGTCCAGGTTCAAGGGGATCTTGACTCAATGCCGCTGTGATTCAATGCTGTATCCCCTCCCTCGCTTGAAAGTTTGCCAAAGAACCCTCGGAAAACACAACAAACACCTCGGTTGCTGTTGACCCCTCTGCCACAAGTTTAAGTTTGTGTGGGTGGAATGGAAACCCATTGTTTCCCAAAAGTTAAAGTCCAACAGTACAACAACAACAAAACGTAAAACCACAACCTCAAGAATGGTTGCTAACATTTCGGGTGTTTGTTGCCCGTATTTGTTTGGCTGCTTGTGGATGTTGGTGGGTTTGTCGGGGTTTTCGGTTGCTTCAGCCCAATGTGTTTGTTTCTTCTTCTTAAACAAATAATAATGGGTGTTTTTCATTTTTCCATGTGCTGCTCCTGTTTCGCCAACACCGGCGTTTGTCGTGTATCAGCTCATTGGTTGCATGACATTGGGACCCAAGTGTATTTCCACGGCAGATTAAACAAACCAGGCTCTGCTGAGGGTTGAGTGCCAAACGCCAGTCGTGAACCTGCGCTTTGCTAAAATCAGCATGAGCGCTGGAAGGATTGCCAACCAAAGTATCAGCTTTGGTTTTGTTGGACTCTCACGACTCCTGCTCAAAATCGCCCATGTGGATTTACACAAGTTGTACATTGTTGATTCAGGATGAATGTTTGAACAGAAGTTGGAATCGCCCCCTGTCAGGAGCCTGCCCAACAGAGGGGGGGGTATAAGTGGATAAGCTTTGGATAAGCCAGGGGTAAGCTTCTAATATGCCCCGGTTCCCCCTGGCACCCTTGTGGATCATACAATATGCTTCACAGCCACAGCCAGTAGGCCCATTGCAACCCAGCAGTACAAAAAGTCTATTGTGACCACTCAGGCCCACTAAGGGTCATTTCGATGGCTCCCCCTGCTATGCCATGAGCCAGTATGGCGACAATCAGTTCCCATAACCAATAGTTAGAGTCAGCACACATTCCGATTGCTACAGGGATTGAAACGTCACCCCGGGCACTCACCTTTACTCAAAAGGTAAAACGATTCAAACCGCGAGGGAAGTATAGGGAGCCCTCTGCTGACTGATTCTACACTCCCGCGAATTTACATGGAACCTGATAGGGGGCCCCTTTAAAAGGAAAATTGTCTTCCAGCACCCCCCTTTGTCAGGTGCCATGCTACAGCGTTGAGGCATTGAGGCAGCGGGCGTGCGTCTCGGGGTCGGGAACTGATGGTCACTTGCCCCGCTGGGAACATTAATTGAAACCTGCCACTTGGGTTACTTGGGTCACTTGGGGTCACTTAGAGTCACTTAGAGTCACTTGCCGCGCGCTCACGAGCGCACGTCACCTTGCCATTTCTGGGGTGGGCAGTGGGCAGGCCCTTCTGCACATAAATAGACATAGACAAAGGCACTGGTCCAGCTGGGTGTAGGGCCGCGTAGATAGAGTATCCCATAAAGTCGAAGTGTCACTCGAAGGAAGACCCTGGTAAGGTCGTGATTGCAGAGCCGACAGAGCAGCACTGCCTGCTGCGCAGCATGCGCGTTCTTCAAGCCCATCCAGGCATACAGGTGCATCAGCTCGACCCTGCGGCCGTCGCCCAAATCACCCAAGCTGGTCGCACGAAGTACTCGCGATCCATGGCCACGGCTTCCCACTTGTGCGACTCTGCTCTGAGGGACAGAGTCCACCCTTCTGAGAGGAGTTGTCGGGAAGCTTCTGTCTGCGCAAACTCCCGCATGGTATTCACGCCAAGAAGCTCTGCTAACCATGCAGGGTCTTCGACGCGTCCATGCGAGCAGCGGTACCTGGACCACGGCCTTGGGCTTGCCGGTGAAGTAGGTGGACATGGCGTCGATGACTCGTAGGCCGGACAGAACCTCTTTCCGAGACCCCTGCCGCAGACCGTCGTGCCAGCCAAAATGATCCAGCCTAGGCCTACGCGGGCGATGTTTTTCATACTCACGCTGGCATTCTTGAAGCCACTGCTGCCAGAGAGCAACGAGCAAGTGACCCAAGTGACCCAAGTGGCAGGAGTTGATGAATGAATGTTCCCAGTTTGCGCTCGCAATGCGTTGAGGGCTGAGATTCCCAAATCAAGCATGTTGCAAGCATTTGCTAAGAAATTGAGCCTCCCTTGATTTTTCGTCCATTTCTTAGCCAACTTGTAACTTGCGTGAGGAAGAATCGAACCAATGTTTGCTGGTTTCTGCGGTGCGGGTCTTGTACCGCTACGCAAGCTTGGATTTCTGAGCGGTATTTTCGGCGATGAAGGGCTCGTTTGCTAAGAAATTCAGGAATTCATTCCCCTAAAAGAAGACAAGGTTGAGAAATTGGCTGAGAAATCCAGCCCCCCTGGCTCCAGAGGAGTAGAAACCAGCTCTTTTAAAGACGAAATGGACGCCAAGCAATTCAACCCCCCTGGGCCTCGACCAACCGATTTCTTATACAGCACTCGCACTGTGATTGGGGGGGTTAAATTGGGTTGAACCCGCTCCCGCCCGCCTTTTTCATGAGCTTCCCCAGCAAAGAGTCGGGATCCACGTCTTTGTCTTTCGCGTGGGCCTCGTGATGCTCCTGCGAGCCGGCCGGTTTTCGCACTCGATCACCCGAAAACTAAACATACGGGGTTGTCTCAAATTCGCGGACCCCAAAATGAGTGGTGTCCTTCTTGTTTCTCTTGAAACCAGCCCCAAGAGGGGTACCCTAAAAAAAACAGACACCCCCGTATTACGGGAACAGAACAAAAACAACCAAACAACTCAAAAACATGCCAAGAACAGTGAAGCTATGAGTGTTTCCCCGCCCGGTTGTTGGCTCCCTCTTGGGCTCCACCTCGAGAAATAAACCACCCGTCAGACCGGATTGGGCAACGTCGTCCATGGTCCTCGCACGTCCCCGCTACTTATACTGCACATCCCTGGTACTGATACCCTTTTTGATGTTCTCTTAAACAGAAACCCCATTTTGGGGGGTCCGCTTGAAGATACACTCCTTCAGACTAACATGAAAGCTCCCGGAAGACCTCCGCAAATGGAACCAAGTCGTCCGACCTCCGAGCTTCCATGTTAGCCTGGGGGAGGGTACGCCAAACACTTGCCTGCGGGTCAAAAATAGATACCCCAAATGGAACCCTAGCAAGTGGAAACATGGACCAAAACCTGCGGTCCCCTTGTGGTTTAATATTCACCCATACCCACTTGGCCATGCACCATGGGTCAAAATCCCGTACCCCCAGTGAACATCCCAATCCCCACTAAAATAGGTTCTAAAACGGGTGGTGCACCTAGCCCAACATGGTACTAAAACGGTTGTCATAACCACAGCCACTTGTTTTCAGGTTCCCAGGGACTCAGCCCATCTCCTGCAACGCCTTGGCCTCCTGCGCCGCCATCTGCTGACCCTGCGCTCGCCCACATTGCCACTCCCCGAGTTTCGTTTTGTTCACCCCGGTGATGTTTTCGCTTCTGTCTGGTTGGAAAGCTGTTTGATATCTTGGGAAGTAGTGACAACACCAGTGGTTTCGGTGTCATTTGAAAAATAAGTGTTTTGTTTTTTCCTAAATGCAACAACCTACATAGCACGCGTCAAAGCGCACAAATAACCTTTCCAAAAGGAACCAGCCTTGCAAAATCTGTGCGCTGTGCGCTTCTAAGTACCACTTTTGGTGGGAGGGTGGGCCCTTCAAAGTCAGAAGTCCCTAGGCTTGAAAGTTAGGTTTCGGAGTGCGTGTTCAAGACACAAAGCAGATGTTTATAGTAAGCGAACACAGCTCAGGCTTGCAGACCCCAGTGGTCATGGGGGAAAAAAGTGCATTCTGTGTTTGGTAGTTGTCAAAGGAACACCCCTCCGACAAAAACCAAACAGGTGCCTCACTAGGTGTCTGGAAATACTTGCGACAGGAACCTTTGGATTGGATAGTTCTGGCAGCACAGCTAGCGGCGAACTTGTGTCGAAGCGAACAAGTCGATTTACCAAACGATGCCCTTGGTCAAGCCAGGGACCCCTGTTCTTGACCCAAGGCCTGCTTGGAGCCCCGCATTGGGCGGGGTTGGGTTGAGTTGGGATTCATCCACTTCACAGCAGCCCTTGTTGCCCTTCGACCCTGACAAAACACCTTGTGCCATTCCGTCCTCGGGGTTGACCATAGCAGGGAACCAAAGTACTGAGAAACGACTGCGCCATTGGCTGCAGCATGTGTGGCTTTGGGCGATTCCCGCTGTGCCTTCATGGAGGTCGAAAAACTTAGTCCGCAGGCCTTCGGCTACCCTACACCAACCGCAGCGTTTGCCACATTTGTCTAATTCTGGTTATTGCTGGGCCATACTTGGCGAAAAACGCCCCAAGAGTGGGTGTGATTCTGGCAAGACCGGAAAACTAGTACTTCGCAATTGTCGGCTCCAAGCATAGCCTCCACATAGGTCTCATTCCTAAAGAAGAAACACATGCGGCAAGGCATCTGAAAAGGTGGGTGTTTATGCTAACAAATCACAACACAATTCAATTATGGCTCTGAACAAGGGGATGAGTAAATGTGGCCAGGAGCTGTTCGACGTCTCTGGCGTACTTGTAGGCATGTCACCATCCTTTCGACAGCGAAAGGAAATTGCCCTTCCTCCAAATAAATTTGTCTTAAAATAGCGGACGCGCCCCCCTCCCCCTCATGTTTTGTCTGAGCAAAAAACGGTGGTTGTCCCTTTGGCTTCCCTTTATATAAAGCCATAAGCGCGTACTCTCAAAAGGAACCACACCCAACTCGTTTCATTTCTGTTGGATGATTCGGACCAAGTCTTCCAAGATGAGTTTGTTGCCTTAAATCGGGAGCAACGTCACAGAAATGTGGATATCTCATGGAATCTTTAACAACCGACTCGAGTACCCCAAAAAAGAAATGTAAACAGCATATGCGAAACATATTCACAAGTAGGATATAGAGGGGGAGACATCTGTGTATCTGAGCCGCTGCCAATTTTCTTCTGAACTCATGCCTTCGTGTCATGTTTAATGAGGCGCCGCCATGTCATTCTCCAGGTTTCAATATTTGTTGCTATCTATGATGCAAGGGCAGTGTTTTCTGTGCCCACCATCTTCAAAATGCACAAGACGACTCAGCAAAAAGTGCTGCGTTGACTTAACTCTATGATATATTGACCCCGGCTATGGCTCCGATCTTCCAGGCCCTTGGGCCCTGTTTTTCAGGATCGGAAGGCCAAGGAGGGTCCTTGAAGTATCTTGGGCTCCCAAATTCCCCTATATACTTAAACTGTCACAGCTACCAAGGAAAAATCACCTTAAAGTGGATCAACGTGGATCAACAAAGGTGATGTTCAGAACCACCAGACAGGGCAATATAGGGAACTCATCTCTGGGAGGGAGGCGAACACTGTTGCGCGTTTTTCCTGTGACAGCAACTTGCGCATTCGGCACCGGCCTGGGTGTGCTGCCCCTGGGAGGTTTACCCAGGGAACCAACCGAACACTCAGCTAACCTCCAATTGCCGGGCTGGGGGTGTCTTCGAACGGAACCGTCTTAAGCGGGGTGCCCTCAAAACCTCATAGTTCATGTGTGGATTGGCCGAGTCCAAACTTGCCGCTTGCCAAACAAAGGATCTTCCGAAACACTTTCAGTTCAGGGGGTACCCAACGGGCATATGCCTCTGAGCCGAGCGTAGCCTCGCATGATCAAGTGCATCGCGCCAACACAAAAAGGGCGCAGTAACAAGGAAGCACCAAACAAACCAGCGTGCAAGTATGCGCTCCGTGTGGATGAACTGGTCATGTAAATCAATTGTAAATCAACAAGCAAAGAATTGCATTGTCAAGGATGAAAGTACACTAGGTATGCACACAGTATTGCGGTGCGGTTGGACCTCTTTTCTTCCAGCTATAACCGACCCAAGGATGGGGATGCCTCAACCAACCCAAATACACACACAAACACTCTACAGCCTCTCGCCAGAAAGGGTAAGCCAACCTCGCGGACCTTTGATGAGCAAAACACGCCCAGGAGTTGGGTATTTGGGTGTGGCTCGAAAATAGGAATCGGCCCAACATGGGTTGCCCGAAATGAACAAGTAGACTAAAAGCCTGCGGCCCCCTGCTTCTTGAAGTTGTGAGCCACGCCCATTTGTACGCGTCAGTTTGCTGAGATAGTACCATTGTCAGCTTTCTTGAGGGGGAAACCCACGGGACCCCATTTTGAGGGTCCCAAAGCCGAGTGCGACACACACCCTTCCGACTTTGAGATTGAAGGGAACACCCGGCGCTGGAGGTGTGGGTCTCCACTGGTTCCTCTTCAGAATTCTCACTTCCGCTCGAGTGGATTGGCCATACTGTCAAAATGATTTTGCAAGTGCAGAAACGCAGGGGGTGAGTATTGTACAATTACATGCATGGTTTGCCTTTATACCCTCAGAAAAAGACGCGCTCATATATATATATATATATGCATGCCATACATACAAATAGACTTAAATAAACCAATCTGCGTCAAAGGCCAAACGCTGGCTTCTCAGTCACCGCTTTGATCTGCTCACTTTGGGCGTCGGGCCCCATCGTTGAGCAAATCGAAGAGGTTGAACAACGCCTGTAGGACGCGTGGCTGATTTCTCGAACGGGACACAGGTCCCTGATGATTGGTGCTCCTTTGAATCCTGAAACAAAATCAACGGGATAATTTGGAAAGCATGGGGTCTTTGTTTGAGGCTGGGAACCCTATAGATGGATCCACACAAGTGAAAAGAAACCCAACTGGTGTTTCTCAAACAGGCCTGAGAATGTTTGGCTCAAGTTTCCTTTCACATTCGCGAACCAACACATCATACAAAATCGGGGGCCGTCCTCAGATCTAAAAGTTTAACCTTTATAGTGGGCTAAATGGAAACGCCCCCAATCACTAAACCCAAAGAAATTAAACACCTAAGGGGATGGCTGTGAACTACCAAGAAAATGGGGGCTGGCCTGAAAAGATCATATTCATTCCATTCGCGCCTTAGCATTTGCGGAGAGGCGGAGATGTTTCCAAACACAAAACGAAGGGCTGGCGAACCGTTTCGGTTCCGGGAACCGCCTCCCTGCGGGTCCCTTACGTCCCAGCGTAAGGAATTGCGGGATCCATCGATTTGCCATACCCACTTCCACTGGATACTGGAGCCTTGGCCAAGAAAGAAACCGGCATGTGTTTTATTCGAGGCCCCCCTTTTGTAATGAAAATAAACAAACTAAATAAAACAAACCGCAAAGCAACGTAAACATACAAACAATCAAACAAGCAAACAACACAATATTGAATCGAAGGGGTCCGCATGATCCCTGAAGGGACGCCACAAAGCAACTCCTTAACTACAGGGCGAAGCATTTGGGGGTTGCTCCAGTCACAAATCAGTGCATGCTGTTCAGGTATTTGTTCTGGTGGCCTACACGAATTTTGGCAGGCGGGAACGCAATCTTGTCTATTATTTCTTTTGCGGGAGTGGGGGTGGGGTCCCTCATTTGGAGGCATGGCACCAAAGTGTTGAAACTACATCTTTTCGGCTTCCGCAGTCGATCCCGGCAAGCAACTATAGTAGGTGACCAAGATATTGATCTGTAGGTTCTTACATGCAGGGTTGCCAATTACCTACTATAGGGGCTTGCTGCATGAAATGTCTTCTTTATAAGAAGCCGCTGTTGGGTCTGCTTCTTTGCTCAACCAGCAATGCCACCCCCCTCCCCCAAGTCTCTCCAAATTAGGTTAGCCAGACTTGGACCCTGTGCAAAAAGGAAACCTGTTGATGGTCAGAAGGGAAAATGACAGAAACCCAAAAGGGCCACAAAAAGTTGGCTGCAAGACCAACAGAAGATATCGGATGCCTTCTGCTCAAGAAAAACCTAACATGAAATCAACATCAGGATAAAATATATAAATTGCCCTCTCTGGGTAACTACTTATCATTCACAAAAGTGACCTAAGGACCCCCTCTAACCAAAAACAAAATACAAGCACACCTGCATCATGAGGTTGCAAACGCAATATTTTTCAAGTTGCATGAGCCACACTTCTGAACCAACATTGAAGGCCCCATGCGTAAAACCGGTACTGCGCCGGGTTTGAGGCTCAGCACCCCTCTGGCGTTTCAAAGGGACCCCCAAAGGAAGCACTTTGGAGAGTCCGACTACAAGGAATGTGACAGGAAGGGACCTTCAGAACCCCCAGAACTCCGCAGCCTGAGCACAGACCCCGAAGCAAACAGCTGGGGAAAGACGCTGGTGGTTTTCCAGAGTCTGCATGTTTGGTCCACCTTAAAAGTAAAACACATGGAGGCGACCCTTCCCAGTTGCCAGCTAGCGTTCTAGTAGGTAACCAGGCGGTTGTTACCTCCAGGTTTTACATGATAGTGTTCCCTGGTTGCATTACATAGTGGCTCGCCTGGCAGTAAGAGTCAACTCCTTGGTTGCCTTCCTTTGGGTTTCCCCGCCCTGCTCGAGACACTCCATGCGCGGCCCAGCTGAGGCCGCCACGCGGCGAGGAGACTCGGACTCCACTTGCTCCACCGCTTCTGCCCAGAGTCGGCGCTCCGTCTGGCAACAAGGGAGCTGGTTTGGTTCGCCTCTGAACACGTTTTGACTTGGGAACCCAAGGAATCGACTGGGGGTTTGGGAATCCTGGAGATCCACTAGATGACCAGATAATTTTTGTGAACATTCCCTGTTCGCTGGAAACAATCAGGTCAAGCACTCTTAACCCCTGGAGTTCCCCTTGAAGTGGAGAGGCTTGTTACAACTGTTGCAGGATGCACACAATCCCACCGGGCCATTGGCGACATCTGCAACGACTGAAAGAAAGGAGGTACACCGGTCTGTGAACAAAACGATATCCATGTAAGACAGCAGAGGTACACGACTCCTGGCATGTCCTAAACCAAGTTCGTTGATCTTAGATAGCATATCCTGTTGGTATGTTTTCGATTGCCCTGTCGGTTTGTTTGCTTGGTTTTGTTCGGAAATCCTGTGGAAATATTGCTGGGCATTCGTGGATTGGCGCAGGTTATAATGGGCGAGGTAAAACTCTATTTGGATGGTGTGATAGCAACCATCCCCAGCTCCAAAAATATAATGCATCAAAACGAGCTCAGGATGGGTCCCTCCAAAATTGACACAAACGCCTACGATAGCAAAGAAAACTGTGGACAGCCACCAAACTCCTGTGCAAAAATAGCAGTTGTCAGGCCACCCGCTAATGAACCGAACAACGGAATAATAACAAATAAAGTTCAATCAATATCACTCCAAGATCAGTGAACAAAAAAGGGCGGTGACTCGTGTCGGTCCACCCAATTAAAGGCCACTGCAGGGTGTCCACTGCCTGTTCCCCAACAATCAGAAAATAAACTGCCCTTCTACAGGTTTCAGCAAAGGAGCTGAGGACCTACTTGCGCTCCTTTCCAAGGCTTGCGGTTTGGCGTGATACTGTTCTTACTATTCGCGTCATACGTTGATTCGTACACACAGGCAGCAAAGGTGACACACTTGCTCTGGTAGTTTCAGATGAAGTCAACTCCCAACTGTGATTGCATTTCCGGATCTTGTTTGTTTTCTCTTTCTCTCTCTCTCTCTCGCTCTCTCTCTGTCTCTTCTGGCGGAAATCAACCTCCGGCATTCCGCCACTCCCTCCTCCCCCCCAAAGCCCCACAGCAGCGGAAAACCGCAACATTAAGATTTAAACAACAAGCTAGAGGTAAACATGTTCAGAGTGAAGACCTTAACTGAAAGCCCTGAAAAGGCCTCATGCGAGGAAGCCAGGGAGAAGGGGCCAGGAGATCCTATCACTAGAGTGGCTCGCGGGTCCATGAAAGTGATATCCTCAACTTCCCGGAGCTACATGGTACTTGAAAGGGAAATCTGTCAAGTCACTAAAACAGCATTTAAATCACCCTCCAAAATCAAGAGTTTTCAGAAGCCCTGAAAATGCCTCGGGACCAAGCCACGTGACACCCGACAGCATCGATCCGGATCGATCCTGCTTCTCCTCTTCCCGAAGCCGGCGCTGAGTTGTTTCATCCAGCTGGTTCTGGCGATCCGGCTTCAAGGTTTCAACTCTCGGCCTCTCAGCCAGAACTCTCCAACCTGATTCCGCCCCCTGTAAGTGAACTGAAGGAACTTCCCCGAATGTGGCCTCCCAAGAGGAGACTCCTACATATGGGTGCTTTTTCTTGGGGTTCTAAGCCCGTGAGGATTCTTTTTAGGGGTTCCGGGATATGCTCAAGGAAGGGTTCTTAGACTGAAACAACCATTAAGATGCCCTGCAGTGCACTTTTTCCTGAGAGAAGACACCGTAGTTCCTGGAAGATTAATTTCTTAAGGGGCTTGCGTTGCCATCAGGAGGATCAGGACTCCCTCCCTACGTCACGCCGCCGGGAAACTCACCTAACCATTGTCAAGTGATGTTTGAATTCGCAGCAGCACATTTGGGCACCCGAGGAAAATTTGGCCATTTTCGTCTTGACAGTTGGACGCTTGCGGTTCATGCTCCTCGGGAGACACAAACAGGGGGAGTGCCGGTTCTTCCCGATAGTTCAGATTAAAGCAACACCAGTGCCAATGGAAACTCACCTTGTATAAATATGCCAAAAACTGTGATGCTTAAAAACACAAAAACATAACATTTATTTTATGTTAGTATATATATATATATATATATATCCATGGGACTCCTGCGCTTGGGACTTTGAAGGGAAACCGAAGAGACGCTGGGCCCCATTTTTGAGGATTTCAGATTTAGAGAACTCATGGGAGCTTCCTAGCGGAGCCTTTACACCCCCCTAGGCTGGAGAGGGGCCACATTGCAACCAAACGCTTCAAGTTGTTGTATTCATTGGGGGAAAAGAAGTTGCGCAAGCAAGTAGCGTCGCGCCATCGCCGGTCAGTCTGAATGGCTCAATTTGGTCCCGGAGTTCCCTACTTGCAACAGTTGCTGTAAGGGCCCAAACCTGGTGGATTCGATTCTTCAATAACTTTCATAAGGTGGTTCAAAATCGAATTACGACATGATCATAAGCCGACAATGTGTGTAACTATATTTAGCCCGCCCCAATCTCAGCCTGACTCACTTTGAAACCATCATCACCCATAAAGGTGATATTTAAAGTTTAAGCTACCCAAAAAGGGCTCGATCGACTCTGACCCAAATGCCCACTGTAGCAGGGGTTCAAACACATTCAAAAGAGGGCTCGGCCCAACCCAGTCATGAATTGCTACGATTCACAACCTGGAACTCACTTGCCCAAAGGACAGGCCCCTTTTAAAAAGGTTGACCCTTTGGGACCTTGACTAAAAAGGGGACACCAAAAGTTCAACAGTGTCAAGGGCAACGCACAAATGCCTTGCCCCAAACGGCTCCGTCAGCTCGCCTGGATTTCTCGGAGCCGCACGCGGAGCTGGGAACGGGCTTCATCCCAGATCTCCTTGGGCACCTCGTGACGTGATCGTGATTCATCGGGTGAGTCATATTGGGTAGGAATTTTCATAAGGGACCTTTGGTGGACATCATTTAGGTGGGGATTTATGTCCACCAATCACTCGCAGGTGGTTCCCTATTAAAAAATCATGGCCATATGTGCCGAGGACTCCCAAATTCGTGTCCTGAACAAAAGGAAAACAGGAATCCTTAACACAAACACAAACACACAAAACCAAAAAAACGTGTCGGTGTGTGTGTGTGTTTTTTGGGGACCCAAAAAATGTGTGGATCTCATTCACAACCACAAAAATAAGGGTGCCCTCAGAAAAAGACATGCCCATGTGTCGAAAGATCCAGCCCCTGGTCGCCTGAGGGAGGCTGTTTCAAACACTGGCAACAAAACAGGCTAAAACAAAGGGTTCAATCGCAGCCTTGATCTGACCCCCCAAAACGGAGTTCACTACCCACACAGGCAAAAAAAAAAGGTTAGGCAAACATTATGGCAAAGAGATATGCGTTGATTGCCTGTCAAGACTAATCCTGAATACGATGGCTGGAGCAAGGACGCAACTTTGTCTGATCGGATTCAGGTTGGGCCAAACAAAGATGAGAACGTTTCGGGCGGTGGCTGAATTGATAACGGAAGTCCGATAAACTATTTTCACGTATGATACCTCAACAGGGAAGTCTTTCCTTTTCAGACTCACAAATACGGGAACCATTTTTTTGTGGAACAAATGCTAGGGGTCAAACCTTGATGTATCCAAGTCGAACTTGTCTCTGACACAGCACGGACCGCCGCAATTGACGAGGACAAGGATTGGGGTGTGTTCCGCATGCGTTAAACTTCTGCCGGTGCTGGGCACCGTGCCTAATTTCATGGGGCAAGGGGAGGGGAGAGGGAGCTCAAATTAGCTCTATTAGGATTAAGCCCCTGACAAGTCCCATGAGAAGTGGTGATGAAACGCGAGCGGGGCAAAGGTAGCTGAGGCAAGTGTAGGGCCCACCGCTGGATTTACCCAAAACGAAAGCTCCTAGAGTTCCAAGAGAACACTAACAGAACACACCGCAGTTGTCTTAAGATCGAGCCCCCTTGTGGGTGGCGCTTCAGCTGCACGAAAACTGTGCACATGACACAGCTCCACGGAATCCAAGGGTCAAGCTCAACTTGGGTGTGTCCGAAAGGCATTGTGATATGAAAAGATGTTTCGCGCACGCACTTTTTGAGGCTAAAGCTCAAATGTCAAACAGGTGCAAAGTACGTTTAGCAGGAACTGTCATTTGGGCAAATAAGCCTGCAACCTCTCCGGCTACTACAAGGACAGTAACCGTTAACCTCCAACTTAAGTGGAAAAGCGTTCTTGCTTGGCCTCCATTGCCAAGAATGGAAGTGACTCTTGTTTGCCTCTTCCGAACATCTCGGGGCCTCTCTGCACAAGCGTTTCCTGTCTGAAAATTCCCGTGTCTCGTTCACAACATGCCCCATGGTCAAAAGACTGTGGGAAAAAACACACACACACACACAAATATGTGCATGATATCTAAATACATACATGTACACGCATGACATCCATCCAGGTGAGGGGTGAATTGTAACACCGCTGTCCAACAATGGTTGAAGCTGACACCTCCTGGCCCTTTGATTGGAAGGGGCAAAGCAATCTGAAAGTAGACATGTCCAATGGTTGCCAGGGGTCCTCCACCAAAGCAGCCAAAGGATCCATGATCCTAATAGGCCTGATTAGTTGCCATTTGCCCCTATTGGGATTGGGGGCTCTGTTTGGGGAGTCCTTGACGAAGAAAGGAACCTGAACATTTGGGCCAGGTGAAATATCCCCTACTGTCCCTTGCAGCCTCTACCCCTCAGAATGAACTCTCCGATGAACCCTCAAAATCTGCCAACTAAACCCACCAAACATGAGAAGACTCTGCTTCGTTCGCCTGCCCAAATACTTTGGAGGCCCGAAGACCAGACATACTGTCAGTATCTGAGAAGCTCAGTGAAACAAATTGAGACGTCTTTGGTGAATCCTGGGGACGTTTCGGGACTCTCCCAATTTCCCAGTAAAGTCCGTTCCTCAATGCAAATCCATGCGCAATGCACCACTAGGGAAACGACTACTGAGAATCAAGGATCCGACGCCCCGAGTGGGTTGGCTGGCTTCTTTTAGACCCCAAACAGTGTGGTTGGATTCCCTTTCCCAATGAGAAAGGCTTGGTACCCTGAAAACGTGACACACCCAGTTTTGAGTGTGGCTGCGCGTTTCGGTTCACCACAAACGAACAAATCCGCCGCTTCGCCGGTTTCACTCGCTTCAGCTGGGTGCCCCAGCCTCCGGCAAAGGTCCTTCCTCTCGTCGCTTGAAGGAGGCGTACGTATATTCCTGAAGCAGGACCAACACTCGTGCATCCGATCGCCGCCCTGTAATCAGCTGTCAGTAGGTTGCCAGGATATGTATCTTGAGACTTTTACATCGCGGCTTTTCCTGGCTAACTACTACAAGGCTATCTGGACCGATCAACAAGAAAGGCTTTTCCAACAGCTGCTAATTCTTTGAGCCAAGAATTGCGGCATGTCGCCATCTGCCGCCAAGGGGGACCTCCCCAAAACGGTTTCATCTGTTCATTGGTTGCATCCATTTCCTGTGGCCATGGGTCAAAACCCCGTACACTTAGTGAGCATCCCAATCCCCACTAAAATAGACTAAAACTGACCTATCCCAAAAAATGGTACCATTGGTCTTGAACCATGGCCATGTGCGACCCATCGGGTCCGCTAGCCCGGTCCTCACAACATGCTGACTCGGCTCCGAGGCTCCGTGCCGGCTCCGGCTCCTTCCTGGACCTCGAGCCGAGAACCGGACTTGCCGACTTGCGGGTTCCATCCGAGTCTAGTCCGCTGGGATAGACTAAAGGCTTCAATCTGTTGGATCGCGCTGGACACGGGTCTTTCCGGGATGCCTCCAAATCGTTGCAATTTGGAGAGGCAACCTTGGCTCCAACCATTGCCGGGTTCCGGAGAAAAGTTCCTTTACTACTGCCATGGCCGGCCAAACAGGCTGCGAGTAAGTGGGTTGAACATCGAGGTACAAATATCATGACACTGGTGTATGTGAGTGTCTCAAATAGGGAATCCTTAAAATATTACGTTTCTTCCTGAAACGACCCGAAAAGGGTACTCCAATTTCATGTTGTTGGACCTCAAAAAGTAAAAAGTAGCAGTTTCAACGGAAGCCGGGAAACAGAGTGCCACCTGCAACAGTGAAGGGTTCACCGTCTCTTAAACGTGTTCCCTGGCGGTTTCCATTTCATTTGTGTAAAACAAGGACGGGGTACTTGAGCTCAAGAATTGGCTGGGTGTGGACCCGCTCTCGGCGTGCAAAGCCCAAGGAGTAAGCAATAAGAAAGTACTTGGGTATAGGAAGTTTCACTGGCCCTGTGATGGTTTGACCCCGTTCTTGTTTAAGGTCTAAAGTTACAACGTAAAACCTGTCGGAATTTCATCGCAGGGGTCCCGCCCAAGAAGCAATCACGGGGATTCGTGGCTTCTGCTTGAGCCCCAAGGAGTGAATTAGGCGCACATCGGTCTTGGCACTTTGAACTCATGGGAGAGCCCATCACACGAGGCCACGACGGCAGAATGACACTTGCAACAAGAACTACATGGGTGTGTCTTCTTTGCAGGGACCCCATGCTCTCTGATCGGTGAGCATGTTCCTAGGGCCAACACCCCACAAGCTCTCATGGGTTCCTATAGGAGTACCCCCAAACCCAAGAATCAGAGGCTGTGCCCGTGGCATTTTTCAGACTTAGGCCCAGTTATAGCATGTATACTCTATTTGTTGCTTCCCTTTGAGTCACTGGTAGAGCGTAAAATGTATCCTAAGTCTGCCCCAGTTGTTAGTCCAGTTCACCGGCCTCAAGGCCACGAGCAAGGCCAAGACCAGGCCCAAGAGGCTCACCTCAAAGCTCGCGCCGCGTGCTCGCGGTCTCAAGTTCTTCGTGAGCTCGCGTGTTTCCAAGGCGAATGGATATCTTGTTTTGCTGATGGATGCTGCACTGATGAATTTACTTGTGTTTTATTATTCTCACATATATGTTTGTACCTTTGCTGGTACGTGTCTGCGCTGCTGAAATTATTTGCTTGCAATCATCGTCCTGGTTCTCAGTAGGGAAGCAACAGAAAGGTTTGGGAATGAACCGTGGGATGCCCTTAAGGGAAACTACGCGGGGAGGGTTCATAGGGGTCATTGCCTCATGGCCAGCCAAGCACCAGCAAGTTTTGGGGGGGGGATTGTTCAAAGGGGAATCCATAGGGGACCTCATCCAAAGAGAAACAACATGTTGGGAAAACAGAGAAAAAGGGAAACTAAACCAAAAAGAGGGATCCTAAAAATGGAGTTGGCATACCGCATGCCAAAACTTGATTCGACTTCTCCGGGGTTCCCAGTGGTATAGTTTCTTTTATTGGAGGGGGTGGGGGTTGTTCATAAGGGGAATCAGCGGGTTCCGGGCAACTGCGCTGGCCAATTCTCCGCGTTCTTGAAATAGATGCTCCGCTCCAAATGGCCGGCGTCTAATGCCCTTTTCAAACCCACCCAAAACGGGGTGTCGTTTTTGTTGGGGACCCCGCCGAAAAAAAAGGGTTTTCCTTTTGACTTGCTTTAAAAGCACCAAACAAAAGGGACTCTCAAAAAAGGACACACCAAAACATGGGGTTATCCACTGGCATCCACTAGCGCACACCCGTCTGCCTTCTGGGTGTGACTTTTTGGGCACCCGAGTGTGAGCTTCAAAAGGAAGGGACTCATTCAGAGCGCGGTGTTCCTTGTACGACACATGCGGGTGGGGGGGGGAGGGCTCGTCTTTGTTTTTGGGTACCCATTTTTTTGTGGTTTGCAAGGAAGGAAACCACCCATTTTGGGGGGGTCCCGTAAAAAAGAAGAAGAAAAAGAAACACCCACTCCGAACACAGTCAATGGGTTGTAACATGA